TTTTACGTGTTGTTCGAGGGTACTTTTTGAGGAGTAAGAGTCTCAAAGTTAGAGTCTATTTACCACAAAGAGCACGTCTCTGTTAGTCACGACTAGTCCTCGTCGACGACCTCCAAAGGGAGGAAATTTCGACCGCACGAGTCCGTTTGTGAGAGAACCTTTTGACGTCTCTACCGTCGACAAACCTACGAGCAGGACCACGACTGCAAACAGACCGGTCTTCCATAAATGGACAACTATTAACACAACTTCTATTCCTATTCAAACCTAAATTGTCGTACAAAGGACGAGCGTGTCAGAGACCAAAAGGCGACCATTTATATTCTACCTCTCCTCTGACTCTCAACTTGTAAAACTAACATACGTCACAAAGAAGTGAGAGACAGACTGTGATTGGAAATTAAAAATTTCCTTTCGGAAACGTGAAAAGGTCAGCTACCTCAGGTACAATCTCGGGTTCTACGATCTCTTCCACCCGGATTTCGATTTTCCAGTTGTCAAACCCCGCAGCTGCCGGTCTTCCAAGACTCGACCGGACAAAAAGACGTGGTGCAGGCACGAAACACACTACCAATAGAAATACATTGCTTTTAAAATAATCATTCTGTGTGACACGAAACAAATGGGAAAATCGTGTTGGTGAGCACGAATCAATAGATTACATGTATTTCTTGACTATAACACGAAATGCCGTGAGACTGGGTTGGATATACAGCACATTTCAACACAAGGCAATTCAAAGTGCTTTACAAAAATGAAATACATTAAGAGCATTAAGAAACATATTCTAAAATGGCATCTAAAAACACTAATATAAAAGCAAAGATACATGAATAAAAGTCACAGAGCAGTGGGAGATACACACATCTGGAATGTTTAGCTCTGACTNGTGTGTGTGTGTGTGTGTGTGTGTGTGCGTGTGTGTGCTGTGTGTGTGTGTGTGTGTGTGTGTGTGTGTGTGTGTGTGTGTGTGTGTGTGTGTGTGTACACAATTGTACACACACACACACACACACACACACACACACACACACACACACACACACACACACACAGCACACACACGCACACACACACACACACACACACACACACACACACACACGCTTCCCGGCTTCTGGCTGCATGCCAACAGCTGTCATTGCCTACAGTATCATTTCTGCTGTATCTATATCCAGCGCTGAGTGGAGGCCCGTGCCCAACGTCTGCAGTGGGAGGAGGGAGAAGAGCTTAGTCAAAAGTGGAGAAGACCTTTTATTTTTATTTTAAATTATGGTTTGCAATGCTCTTAATAACACTATCCAATATCCTTAGTACTGCAGGCTATTTAGAGACCTTAGAAATAGCATAAATGTGCACGCAGATGTCATTATAAGTTTCAGACATTTCTCCACAGGTGTTTTTAGAGCAGCCTCAAGGTGCTAGAGTTTAACTGTTTAATTCACTCGGTCCCACTTTATCCTAATCATTTATCTTGCAGGGTCTGAAAGGCTTTTATACGTGATTAAAGGTAACGTTATGCAGTTACGCAAGTTAAGTATGTAACATGTATAACTAGTTTATTAAGTCAAACTTCATAAGGTTTAGGGAAATTTTCACTTTAATAAACAAAAGAACTTAAGTTAGGTTTTGGAAAAGATCATAGTTTAGGTTAACGTGAGTACATTTGCAACTTAACTTAGGTCACGCATGTTAAGTGATGTCGTTAGTAATGTGAGTTAAATTGAGTATGATATTACACTAAGTACCACTTAAGCATAATACACTACCTGCAGGGTGGTCCGAAAGCCTTCAATGCATAATGTATTATATTAAGTGTCATGTAAGTTAAGTACGTTGACGCCTGGGTAACTTTTAAACTCTGAAACACTCCAGTCAGCACAACCTGTTCCCCCTCGTCTGTTCTTTATTTAGGACTGTATGTGTGTATGCATAATGCANGTACTACTACTCTACTACTCGCTCTCTCTCTCTCTCTCTCTCTCTCTCTCTCTCTCTCTCTCTCTCTCTCTCTCTCTCTCTCTCTCTCTCTCTCTCTGTCTCTGTCTCTGTCTCTCTCATCTCTCACACACCACAAGTGAGAATATAAAGAACACAATAATAACTTATTCTCACACAACAAATGTCAACTGTACACGTCATTTCCTGGACCTATGCCAAAGTTTAAATGTAGGCCTCCTGCAACAACCTACATTGTAACAGAAAATGTCCTATTGGGAATTCAGTTCCACAATAATAATGAAGCCTCCAGGAGCAGATGAGCCTAAGGGCTAATAGCTCATCTTCAGTCTGCTGATGTTTGCTATTGCCATTTCTGTGGTGGCAAAGTAACAAAGAAAAGAAAAAGATTACAATTAAGGACAAGTGTGTGCTTTTTCAGCTTTTGACCTCGGTCGCAGCCTTCTCTCCATTCTTTGTGCAAATGCCTTCTTCCTGAGTCACTTCTCTCCTCCATCACAGCGGCTGTGCATATCACTTTTGCGTTGCTTGCGGAGCCTGCGCTTGTGCTCGGTTGATGACTGTCCCCCTCCTCATTCACTTGTTCACTTAGGGCGACTGTGGCTGTGAGGGAGTGCGGTCGTCTTTCAACCAGAAAGTTGTGGGTTCGATCCCAGCCCATGCAGTCAACATGTCGATGTATCCTTGGGCAAGATACTTAACCCTGAGTTGCTCCCGATGGCATGGCCAACGGTGTGTGAATGTGTGTGAATGTTAGGTCCTAGAGTAAGGTACACTGCTCTGTATGAATGGGTGTGAATGGGTGAATGACATGTAGTATGTAAAGCGCTTTGAGGGGTCTTAAAAGAGTGGANGAGATTAAACAGCATTGTTTCCTCTATATACCAGTGGTTCTCAACCTTTTTACACCAAGTACCACCTGAGAAAATAGTTGGCTCTCCGAGTACCACCCTATGACCAATAGGGTGGTACTCGGAGAGCCAACTATTTTCTCAGGTGGTACTTGGTGTAAAAAGGTTGAGAACCACTGGTATATAGAGGAAACAATGCTGTTTAATCTCAGCAGAGATTATTTATGAGTCACTGAACACTAAGGTCCTTCAGTGACACAGCCATGACTCAAAAGGCACTCATTATGACCATGTCAATTAAAACACACAAATTATAGAGAATTTACACCAACTTAGTAAACCACTCCACATAAGAGTATCCCTTTTGTACCAACAACTGAGTTCAGTGCAACCAGTTCTGTGGTCCAGACTCCTGTAAAAGTATACTATTGACTGTCAATCAAATTATCAAAATAAACAAAATCATTAAATCTTTCTGACACTAATGACAGTTGATTATAAGCAACAGCTTTTCAATCAACAACTTTATTAATCCCGCAAGGGGCAATTCGTTATGAGCAGCTGTCATATGCACAGGCACTGGCAGGAACATACAGGAAGAAAGCACACAGATACAACCGGGAGCAGAGATGTGGATCATTCCAATTTACACGATAAATAGTTCATAGCATCACAATAATAAATAATCAAGTTAAAAAACATTTCAAGAAATTAAAAGTTTGAGTGCAGAGGGGAAGAATGATTTTGAAAAGTGATTTGTCTAAAGAGCAGGTAGAGCATATCTACGCCCTAATGGCAACAGATGACATTCATCTGCAAGTACATGACCTGTTAGCTTGTCTCTAAACAGGATGTATGAATAATAATAATAATAATAGAAGTAGACGGTATTAAACAATTGCCTCCGTACTGACATCACTAGACTCTGCCAACTTCATCAACTCACATTATGTAAGTCATTCATTACGAACAGAAATGACCCTCCCAATCGGCTTACAAAAGGCCCTTAGGCGACATGAGCCAATCTCATGTGTCACCATTGTTTGCAAACAGTTCAGAAATGCAATACTTCCAGAGACTGACGCAATGATGGGTCAAACTTGGCAGAGGACACATCACGCTAAGGCCGCTGGGCGAGTTTGGGCCGCTCATAAACTGGATTCATTGGCTACGTCGCACTTTAAGCGTGACTACTGTATAGCCGCTACTGCTTGAGTGCAACCAATCCATACTGATAAAACAGACTAAAGGGGAGGTTTTCCTCAATTGCATTTAGTTTGGGTCACAACAGAATCTGGTACAGAACGTCTAGAACAGCAACACTGGAGGTCTAGACCAAGAAACGAAGATGATCCTCTCTACAGGAACTCACCTTTGCAGATGGTCACTTGAACAAAAAGAAAGACTACATCTGATTCCTGGGTACTGCATTGAAAACCGATCAACTTTATTTTGGATTAGAGAGAGGATTAGAATGTCACAGTCAAAAAAGACGGCTAAAACTGGAGTGGAGATTTAAACAAGATGAACTTACTGAAATTAGAGCTATGCTGGATCCCTAAAGATAATTTTGAATGTTTAAGTTTATTTGATTGTTCTTGGCTGTGGTCAAAGACACCCAACAAGGTAAATGCATTTCTGCCACTTGTATCTATGACCTTATCCTTTCAGTCACTACATACAGAACTACATTTCAGCCATTCAATGTCTCCTTTGTAGTACCTTTTTTTTTTTTACCAGGAAGATGACCAGTGTAAATCTCAGAAAAGCTCTTTTCTACTCCTGTTTCCTTTCTCTTGGGAGCTTTCTGGTTATGTGTAACCTCTGCGAAAAACATAAAGGTTATTAGTCCTACAATTTTGCCCTTTCCAGAAAGAGGCATGTGTGTCGTGTTCAGAAGTTGCTCAAGTGTTCCTTCCACACTGTCCAATAATATCCCCAGTCAAGGAAAACCAACAGGCCATCTTTATGAAATTCCCAAACTGATTCCAAGTTTGCTCGTGCGACAAAAGAAGCTTCTAGACTCTAAATTTGAGTCTGCTGCTTCATAAATCTGTTGGGCAAACCAAGCCTCAAAGCTTCACTCTATAGCAGGACAACCTATTTCAACAGTGGTAGCAGGTACTGACAAGATAAGCACCTGGCCCTTCGCCAGGGACACATTTGCGAAATGAAATGGAATAAGGTTACCTGGTTGGTCGTCCTCGCTGCAGGCTTGTCCTGGTGGTTGGCGAGGATGAGGAAGGGCAGTGTGCAGAGCTGCGGGTGCTGCAGGGCCGAGTGGAGCTCGTTCCGTGCTGCCTCGAGCTCCTCATCCGATGAAGCACTGTCCAATACGAAGACTACGCCCTGTGATCCTTGGTAGTAACGACTCCAATATTTCTTGATGTTTTCAGCTCCTGTAGACGGATATGACGCCATACAATGATCATGGTACATACAATTTGTTAAGTTAAACATCCACAGTACTTGTTACACTTTATGAATAAAAAACACTTAGCTTTGAATTATTAAGTTAAAACTACATATTTTCCTGACAAATCAGGAAGCTCAGCAGCTCCTAAATTCCTTGTTAAGACACAGGAGTGGATAGTCGAGCTAAAGTCAATTCATAAACTCACTGGATTATTCAAAGGTCACAATGACATTAACTTGAAAATGAACACATGTGGTTCCTTTTTTGTGTGCTAACTTGTAGCAAGTGTGTTAATCAAAATGGTTTATTCACAGCAACTTTATTTGTTATGTAATGTAAGATATTAGAGGAGGCATCTATATCCTAACAAAATGTGTGAGTGGAGTCCTTAACACCCTCCTCTGCTTCCACTACCGGCCCCTCCTCTCTCCTTACTGACAGTGTAGCCAATGCTTTTGTAAAGGAAATACATTTTCTTAGACATTATTTTGATCTTGAAGACAAAATAATGCACATGTTCCTCAATGTAATGATACCTGGTCAGGATCTGGCCAAGTCCCATGTGCTTCATAGGATATGTAGACACTAACACTAACCCCACAACAATTCCTCAACTAAAGCCAAACATTTCCATGGGATAAGCAGACCTTGTTGGGGTTAGTTCCCTACTTAGGACCTTTCCTTAAACTTTAGCAGTTTTCTACCTGAGCTGCAACACTAAATATGGCTTAATGTCATCCTAAACGTATTCATCCTTTCACAATCACATCAGCAATCTTTTTCACTTAACCAGCAGTGAGAAAGGTTAGTTTGTGCTTCTATGGAACATTTTTATTATGTTACTATTGATAAATTGTTCTTTGTAAGATTGGGAATGAATGCCAGATGACAGCTTCTTCTGTTACCCTCTCTTCATTAATGCCGACAAAATCACTCACCACCACAAACCACAACGTGCTACTCACTTCCTCCGTGTTACTCATGCTACTTTACCATTGGGGCATCCTGCTCCACTTGTGAATTTTGGAATCTATTGTAAATGAACACACGTTTACCACAGCTGCTGATCTTCTTTCATTTTAAACCATAAACAGGAGGTGTCACTAGAGGTAGTATCGCAGATTATCCTTAAATATGGGAAATAAAAAAGATAATCATTTTAAGTGGGTTAAATGTGCTCTTTAAATTTCATTGAGTAAAGCAGTAAGAATAGAGAACATTTAGAGTTAACCCAAGAACCAGACGTGTGAACCAACATGTTTCTTTTTCATCTCAAATACACCTCGTATTATAGTAAATACGCCATTGTACTTTCAGATTGTAATCTTCTAAAATAAAAACAACAAACAATTATCTTGTCATCTGCTCGAACACTTCGATTACACTTCATTACAGAGTGGAATGCTGTACTTTTTACAAGATGTTTTCCATTAAACCGTTAAAAGTGTTTGTTCTACACACGCACCAAACTTCTCTGCACCACATACAAACAACTACAGAATCTCATTGCAAACACAAGTCAATGCAATTGCTTTTACAAGGTTTTTACTTTCTGTCGTTAAAACAATCCGTTTCCGTCCGGTGAGGTTACTTCCTTTGCAATCTTGTGAAATGTTGTTTTGTTATTGTTGCTCATAGTAAGATCGCGGCCAAGATGTGACGAACTGTGAGGCTGGCAAATGTTTAAACATCATCATCTCTCAGTGACATTTTACCTCCCTTCCCTCATGCTCTCCCTACATCTTTCTTTCTTTCTTCCTACTCTCACCTCACACTGGAGAGGAAAGCTATCAGACAAAGTGGCACTTGGGCAATTGACTAGGAAGTTTCCCTCATCTTTGCCTAGAAATGATGGGATATCCATCAAGTCTCATTGGATCTCATTGGCATCTTCTGCCACCTATTGGCCTGACAGGAGGATTTCCAAACATGACGTAATGATTCTTAGGGGATGCTGCTGGCCGCCCTACATAGCATTAAACAAATAAGTGCACCATGAGTAAGACTTCCTTTGCTTTGTTTTATCACTTCCTCACTACTTATACAAGTAGTAGAGGAAACCACAATGTATGTCGTCTATATATAGTTTGTAATTGTTTAAAAGCTTACGTTTTAAACTTTTGGATTTTCCCAAGACATAATTAGCCAAAGGTTAACTGCACAAGAGGTAAACATAGCATGTCAATGAAAGTCTTGTCTCTAACTGACCCTGTAAAGTACTGACTCATCGTCTGGAAGATTTATCGACTCATTCATTCAATATATGGGTTTAGACTGTGGGAGCAAGCAAAAATAATTGCCTATGTTTTAAAAAGGACTTGAACAAATAATTGGAATGAACTTCTTGTACACAGTACGGTCGTACAATCGTTTGGCATGTTTGGTTGGGTGCACCTGATGGAAGAATCCACAATACTTTCAAGATTTACAATTATTAAATATTTTTCTTGCGTTCCCTAAACTTCTCGTGTCTTCGTACAAGTTACGACTTCCATTTCCCAGAATAGACATCAACATCCTTTCCATTGCCTGGACTGTTCAATCTGCAGAGAGCAACAAAGCAAGCTATCATGTGAGTAATGGCAAAAGAGCAACAATTTCCAGTCAGAACAAAATATCATAAAACATACAGTATATTGTGGCTACATTACATAATTGTCTCCTGAGGCTCCTTGGCCCAATAAATCTCTTTTTTTTTGCTTTTCCATTATGGATTTAATGCCCATTTGAGTTGTTAAATGTTGATGCAAAATGATGAGTCAGCAATGGGGTATTTGCTCTTCAGTTTTGAGGGAATAAGTCAAAAACGGAATATTTAATAACACTGTGGTAATTGGTTATCTTATAAACTCCAAAAATATCTAAGATAGATATGTAGAAGAAAAAATGTCCTTGTAAATGTGCACGTGTGAACACAGCAGACAATATATTTTTAAACCTATAAACATCCATGACATAAGAATATATATATCAATGTTATGATTCCGACATTTCTGATAATATTAATTTGTGAAAAAATCACTCAGATGATGTCAGTCTGTGATCAGATGGATGGAAACCGGATCGGAGGTAAACATCTCACCGAGGCGCAGTCATCCATCCCTCCCTCCCTCCCTCAACACCAAGCAAGACTTTTTCAACCCTCTGTAGCAAATGAAGGCAAGCTGAAACAACGAGTGTAATGACTTATTTAATGTTCAGCATACAATATGGATGTTTAACATGTATGCATGGTTTGAGGTCCCTGAGACAGGAATCTTAATGATTGTGGTTATGCTGTGCTTCGTAGGCATTGGATGATTCATTGTGTATGCATAGCCAACTGCTACAGGCAACCGTAATGTGAAAAACTCACCAGGGCTGCCCCTCATGACTGATGCAGACAACTTTCCCTGGCCATAAAACATTTCTTGATATTCTTTTTCTCTTGTGTTGTCAGACAGCAAACTTTTAGCTTTGTTTTTTTTAAGTCATGTTAAGTAAAACCTCTAGCTGTAGTTTTTGCTGCTTTTTTATGAACTAGTTGATCATGCATAGGTCTTGGACTGTTGCTCGAAAAAAAAAGAATGGGAAAAGCATAAGTCTACTGGTTACACAAGCAAAAGCGACAACGATGCTTCAGTGACCATGTTACTTTTACCTCTACACTTAAAGTGTGACTACGAATTAATAAACAAAACTTTAAGACATCTGCCAGTCAAACAAAAATGATTACATTGCAGAGATTCAAAACAGATGGTTTTCTGCAGTCTTATGAATTCAGATTTTCTTTATGTGATATATTTCATTTTGTGTTGGATCACTGGCGTTTCCGATAACACAAATTCAGCTTTTGGTAGATCATAGTACAAACCCACCTCCCTGTTTTTTCATCGGGCCAAAAAAGGCTTTCGCTTAGTCTTTTTCGGTTCGTTGTAGCGTATCGATGCAGGTATGATTTCAGATTCACAGTCGGCTTTCTCAATTTGAACACTTTCTCATACACTCCTCCCATCGTTCATTCTTTTGCGAGCTATTACCTTGAACAAAATGCAAACATGTTGCCAATCAGGTCTTGAAAGTTGAAAAAGCGAGAGCAACCCTCTTTGAAGTCTCCCTAACGAAAAACAGACAGTGTTTTTCCTCTGAACAAAACAGCTACAATACGGTGATGGGAAGCAGCACATGGACTAGCGAGGGAGGCCTCTAGTAATACAATTTGCTTACTTCATTGAGGAATGGGCTTGGGCTGCAGTGTGGTGGAAAACACTTCAGCTGTTGATACATCATCAACCTGCAGTGTGAGCAGTGTCGGTTTTTAGGAAACACGTTCTGTGTGCGGCTCAGATTGAAACACACATCAAATCGATCTGTACACATGATTGACACATTTGGTTCAGAGAAAAAAATGGTATGTTGATGTACTTTATGTGAACAATTTAGCTTCTGCTCTTTGCCATTCAGCCATTTTCCTCATGTGCAACTAGGACGGATACAGCTGTTTTTGGTCATAGAAACGTAATGCACCGGGTTGAAAGTCATAATTAATCATTCCAACCTTTCTATTTATTTTAATCTTAACCTAATCCACATACATGCTGCTGTGCCTGTATAATGACATCATATGCACATGTATATGTCCTCCTTGTCATTGGACACTTCCCCTACTGAACCACTTTGTAACAGTATTTTTAAGATGGAAAACCTAATGCTCCTGAACGAATTTGATTATATTAACTTCAAAAGTTTGTTAATCCAACTGATACTGCTCTTCCGTACAGTATCTATAAACGCACCATTTACCTACTATCAACAAAAGACCCAACATCAAGTAGGGTAACATTCTTGAAAGAGACCTCAAATGGAGATCAGTTACACATCTGACCTCAGAACTTCAAATCAGTCCAGTTTGAATCGACAGCATCTGCTTTAAACTCAATTGACAATCAACAAATGATCTCACTTTTGGTCAAATATTTTTCAATGCAACGTAGAAGCTTTCGTGTCAGACCCACAGTGTGGTCTTATTTGATAATAACAAGAAGCACATTGTTTCTGCGAGGACAATATGATGTTTCGCTCTGAGACGTGTTCACATACTCTCTTTGCCTGTTGGTGGTCATAGGCACCTGGTAAATGTTTTATTGGGATGTTTTTGCATTTTGCTTGTTTTCTGTGATGTTCTTTGTATGCATACATCATAAATGCATAATGTATGATAAATTGGGCTCTACATATGTACCAAAAACAGTTTGAACTCTGTGTAAGAGGACATTTATACACACTGCATGCATAACATTTTAATCAAAAGTTTCATAAGCCCACCTGTACACAATTGTACACTGGAAAAATACTGGAATCTAAAAAATCTGTCTACTTCAAATCGAAAGCCTCAGCAGCAACGGGTGATGATTATAAGGACTACTTTCCCATCAGCTGTCATTGCATGCACACTGTGAAATGGCCAGTCTAGACTTGACGTCATGTAACTGTTCAGACGTATACACACACACACACACACACATTTGCACACTCCTACACACACTTAATAGATTCCTCCCTGTGTCCCCGGAGGTGCCCTTCCCACCTAATCCCCATACCTGGCCTCAGCTGGGTAGCAAATGACTTCAAGAATGAAAGATCGCAAGATGCAAAATTATCAATTTCAACCAACTGGAAATATTGTATGATACTTTATTCCGATAAGTATAAAAAGCTCTCGTATAACGATATTACTGCTTGCTGAATTAAAAAAAGAATGTCCATTGCTGCACGCTGACAAGCTTAGAATATAAATGCAGAATTATTAAGGGGTATGTATTTAATGTCTGATTACATTTAACTAATTAAGTAAAATTGAAATGCAGGTGTCTTGCTGCTTGGACAGAATCATATTAAAGTAAGTGGCTATGACTGAACACATGATCATTTTTCATCTTCTTTAACAACACACATACCAACATTTCTCCACTAATGTCTACCATATTTCTAAACCAAGGTTGACATACTCTGAGGACACCAATAATACGCAATTGTTGTTTTTTTGAAGCTCTGAGCCGACGGCTGTGACAGAGGGCAGACTCTGTAATGAGGGACCACACAGTTTGTCTTTAAGCGCGCACAGGTGTATGATTTATAAAAATAGTCTGACGTTCAGCTGTGGAAACCGGTTTATTTAGACTAAATATGTTCAGCATAAGCTTAGGCTGAACCTTGGGTTTAATTGACTTTCCCTTTCACCCTGCGACATTCCAGTTAGTGACACCTGCACGTTTAAAAAGAAATGCACATATGTGAAAACCCAGTTAGAAAACTAAGTTCCTAAAGAACAAATGTAACCATTTATAAAAGGTTTTTCCTAATCCTTTACTCAATGTATGTGAACTGTTTCCCCCCTAAGAAGAGGGAATGGTGGAGGAGGAAAACTAAAGCAGAAACCAGAGGTGAAGATCAGAAAGAGAATACATGAAAACAAGCGAGCAGGGACCTCATTTACAAATGCAAGAGTGACACAGATGTATAGGATGGTCTAAATCATGAGCGGAGCCATACATCACATAAGCTGCTTTGTGCCTCTGGTTTAAAGGACAGATTGCGCTTATGACAATCTGGCCCAGTGCACTTGAGGCAGGGAGAGTTCAAAATGCATTACCAGGCTTAGCATCTATAAAAGTCACAGTCAACTACTCTTACATGGGTTCAAAACCTGCACATTTTAATAACAGGGAGGAGAGCTGGCTGAAAATGCCTTGCTGGGGTCACTATCTGCTCTCTAAGATCTCTCTGCGTGCCTTAACACATCCTTTTCCCATGAGCCCTCTTCCTGAAGACTCAAACCACTTTTGTTTAATATAGGTTGAGCAATAATCAGGCTCCCCCTGCTAAGCAAACAGCAAGGACAAAATAAGTGCATCTAGAATGTGTGAATACTTTGTTTTTTGTGTGCAACAATTGAATGTCTTTTAACTGCTGTACTTGCTCTACCAGAAGGAGCTAATGATGGCAAATAGTTCATTTATAAGCATCGTTGCCTTAAATAGCCCTTCCAACCTCCGGAACTTAAAGTCATCTGCATAAGTAAGACTTGCTTTACATTTCTAACTGTAAAGGAAGAATACCTCATTGACATTCAATGGGCTTTCCAGCGGGAGAGGAAGGAAGTACATGGGAAGTGCTTCGCTTCTCAACAAGCGCTTTTTCACTTGTTAGGGCAGAGTGAAGAGAACAAGCAACAAAGGTATTGTGGCAGCGGGGTGTGGTTAGGGCGCCGGCTGCTGGAGTGAGGGGAGTGGCTCGGCCGGAGGCCAGACAGCTGATCAGAATCAGGTAATCAGTCACTGAATAAAAGCACGTGGTAACCTGGTTTTGGTCTGTCTTGCAGTAGGCGGGATCCTGGAAGGATGCAAAAGGACCCGTGAAGGAGCTCGTGAAGAAGCCCGTGAAGGAGCTCGTGAAGAAGCCCGTGAAGGAGCTTGTGAAGAAGCCCGTGAAGGAGCTCGTGAAGAAGCCCGTGAAGGAGCTCGTGAAGAAGCCTGTGAAGGAGCTCGTGAAGAAGCTCGTGAAGGAGCCCGTGAAGGAGCCCGTGAAGGAGCTCATGAAGGAGCCCGTGAAGGAGCCCGCACGGGCGACGTGTTTTGTGTTTGTTAAACAATAAACCCCCGTGTTACACCCAAACCCTGCTCCTTCCGTCCCTCTTTGAACCCTGTGTGAGCGGAGAGGCTCACAGGTATGCATATAGGTTTTTTGGGGTCAGGATTACTGATTTCTGTGCGTCACATCTTGTGTCATCATTGATGCGGTGAAAAACAACATGTAACTATACTGGGCATTGTTGCTTGTTTTAAAGCCGAACGGAAAGAAGAGAAATATTGTATACTGAGAGAAATGGGAAGAGCTTAGAAAGTTACAAAGTGACCCCGGAAAGGGGCTGGTTTAATCATAACACGATCTAAAAGGCTCATTATGAGAACTGACTGGTGGAACATTTTGCAAGAGCACAAACTCTCCTGACACCTCATTTACGTCAGTTGCATTTGGAACAGGGAGAGCCCTCCTTTATTCAGGTCACAACAAGGTTGCATGTCAACATTTCATAGAAAACCTAAATCTGATACTAGACTCAAAATATAAGTAGTCAGTCTAAACATCAAGTTCTTGTTTTTACCAACGCATCCACAACGAATGGCCCCATCAATCAAACTAAAATTCTCCCACTGTGTGTATTTACAAGAAAAGGAGCAGGGGAGCAAGATTCCAAGGAAGGGGCAAAGAGAAAAAGAGAACAGATTTCATCCTTTTCTGTGGTGGCAGCCTATACTAACTTATCTAAATCAAATGTGTCACCCGTGGAACCAGTGTTTTTCCAACCACAATAACCTCCCAGCAGACTGGCTTTGAACCAATCCAGAAAAACTTCTTTTGAAAACCCTCTAGTGCGCTCTGTCCAAATTTGGTAGCACCCTCGTTGGTGGTCCCCCGGTGCCTCTCAAGTGTGTGTGTGTGTGTGTGTGTGTGTGTGTGTGTGTGTGTGTGTGTGTGTGTGTGTGTGTGTGTGTGTGTGTGTTTTTTTCATCTTTTCAGGAGTTTAAGATGGGTGAGCCTTCAAAACACTCACTGCACCTGTCATGTGCCTACAGTATAGTGCACAAAAAAACAACGTAAATTATTTCAACTCTCAACAAAACAAAACATTTTCTTGTTGTTTGTAGGAGAACGGACAGCCCTGATTTATCCCTGCTCTAGGACTCCCTTTAAGGACTGGAAGCCTCCCATTGCATTTATTCTGTTTATGTGTCTCCACCTCAAGTTCCCTCATCTGTGCGTATTAAACCGTTTCCTCGAGTGCTCTGCATTTCCAGGAATAAGAGGCAGCAGATTGTATAGCCACTTCCAAAAACACTTACTGGTCTGACGTCTGTACAAAAAGGTGTGATGCTACCGGGTGTAAAACAATCATGCTTCTGCCTCCTTGGTGTACACAGTTTTCAGTGTAAACAGTTAAAATCGAGAGATAGCATTGGATGTCAGAAAAAGTGTTCTTATTTGAGCAAAACAGTTTCCTAACTGGTAGAAGATCAAAACACTCACCCACACAATGAGAGAAATAACTAATTAAATTAATCGTATCGAACACATAAAATAATGAGTGAACTTATGGGGTTGGCATTTAAAAGTGTAATGAGTGAAAATGAAAAACGACGGAAACCAGGTGAATGATTACTCTTAATATGGATTCCATTTCATTATTTAAAATTAATGAAGATTTTTTAAATATCCTAATATTTGAGGCTGCCAAGAAACGGCAACTATTCTCTACTTGCAACTGCTTTTAAATCAAAAGTTCAATCAGATCTAAAAAGGTGTATTGGTTTATGTTTTGTTTTTCAATGCAGTTTTTAGTAATTGTCTTTGTTGGGTTTGCAACCAATGTCGTGGGTGGGGACAAAGGAAATGTCATGCTAGGTAACTATATTCCACCTAACACAGATTTACTCACAGAGTCTTGCTGTGACAGAAGTGAAAACATTTATAATTACATTTTGAAAGGCTAAAGCATGTCTTACCTCCGAGTTCTTTTACATTCAAGATGGCATTTGGAAATGGCACTGCCTTTATGCTGAAACCTGAGGGAGGAAAATAAAATCCATCATTGTAACGACATAACAGGGTATACGCAGGAATCCTGAAGTCAAATGTAAAACCTTTTAAGACCTTTTTTAAGACCCTTTCCATACATTTTAAGACCTCATCGCCACTTTGAGTTTTAACCGGTTACATTGGCGACACACTTCACCTCACATGTACTATATACAGTATTGATTGTCCTTCCTCCTTATCTTCCAACCATTTGGACGCAAACTTGCATTTCCCCATAACGATGTTGTTTAACAACCGGCGTAAACGGACCTTCGCTCGCTATCAAGCAGTGAGCGTGCGATGTCCTGTTCAGATGACGTCAAATCCAACGGGATGCCATAAATAGACTACACAGAATCACACTACACACCTACGCAATGATTACATTCAAGCAGACTGTAGAATACAACCTCTTTGGACTATTTATATACTTATTGGAAACAAGCTACAAAATGTAATACCTTGGAAAATGCCATTTAATACTTTTTAATAGCCTTAATTTTCGCTAAATTGATTTATCAACTTGTAATACTTTTTAAGACCCCGCGGACACCCCGCATAAAGAATTTATGTGATATGTAAGTGTGTAAGTGTGTGTGTCAATTAACTTTTAGGAATGCTGGTTGGATTGCATTTAAATAGTGAGAAAAATAAAATTGAACTCGTTTAAAACAGAAAACATATGTATCGTTCAGTTTCCCCAGGATATTTGGTGTACCTTTCCAAACCGCCAGCTGGTGAACACACAGAGTATGAAAACATATTTGTGTTGCAAAAAAACGAAAGAAAATAACACTTTGTGTGGTCCGGGTTAGAAAACGGAAAAACAAAAAAAGCCAAACAGTGCTTTGTTCAACGTTGGAGTTAGAGGAAGATAGAGCTTATGTGTAAAGCGCTACTATGGTTTTGTGGTTGCATAGGGTGGGAAATAGTACAGACAGCCAATGAAGGAAGATATTTAATGTTGCTCAATATATGCTAAACTGTCTTGGTGGGAATTCCTTTCCTGGAAACGTTCACACACAGGAGGAGAGATGGGAAAGACATGTCATTAGGATTTTTCAAACATCTGAATTAACTGCTAAATGTGGTTTTTAAGCACATTACGACAGTGCAAAACCATGAAGTAAATAGTGGGGGGAACAGCAGGAGACTTCCCCCTCATTGTTCATCGTGATGGTCCCTCTGTAGATGTTGGCAGACACAGACATTGCTGACAGCTAAATCTCGTTTCAGAGAAGAGAGCTAAAATAATTCTACTCTTAAGTAAGTAATGGACATATTTCATTTATGAAGGCGTATTGAGCAGCAGACAGGTGTTCACTCCCTGGAACAACCCCCCCGGCCACAGAGACCCACACACACTAAGGGTTACAGGTAACACACTAGGGAATCACTTTATATTTAGCTGTTTCCTAGTCAAAGTGCAAAAAAACTAAATCTAAAACGGGACTTCTGCTCAGGCTCTAACCTGACTGCTGTCAAAGCCAGGGGAGGAGAAAGGAATGCCAGAGTCCTTGAGGGATTGCCTTGCGTTTATGGAAAGCAGAGTATTGACTACCAAGAAAATGATGTGCTAACCCTGAAGCCTGCTCATCTGGACATACGCAACAGCAGCCTCTTGACTGCAAGAGAGAAGCAGAGTATTGGCCGGTGAGATACAGCAGAGCATTTCTGGCATGAGCACTGGGACTTTGGAAGACTTGCTGAAGACTTGCTTCCCCCTATTGGAGAGCTGTAATACCTCGATAGAATGATCTAGCTATGATTATAATCCAGAGGACAGCATGTTCTTCAAACATGAAAGCAGTTCAGAAGCATGAAAAGCTTTCAAGAACACATCTGAGGGGAGTGCATGCTTCTATTTAAGTACACACATTATACTATGAAAAAAGGCCCTCTTTCTTCCTGATCCGTGTTGTGTACAGACCTGTTGTGGGGACGATGCCGTCGCTGCCCTCACTACAGAGGCGTGAGAGCAGGCTGGTCTTTCCAGCACCTGTCAGGCCGATGCACACCACATCGTACTCTGGTCTTGGCGGCGGGGGTCCTTTACAGCACAGTGCCCGGAAACACTAAAACAAGACAAACAAAACAATGAATTCTTTAGAAAACAAAAACGAATGCATGTGGTGCCAATTGAGTGATTAGGTTCTGCACATGGAATCACAACAAGTTAAACCCAAAAAGTAAATGTTTGTCGAAAAAACTCTTGGGTCTTTGCAAGAACCCTCATGTGCGGTACAGCTTCACACGCTGAAGCACAAAACAACAAATACTGTCACAATACAGCTCTGGTCTATGGAACATGTTAAGATCTTTATGAAGCAAAATGTAACAATATTTCAAAAAGACAAAAAAACGTTGTATTTTTTATTTTATTTAAAAGGGACTGAGTACTAACTAATAATACAACCCCATATGGTGGTACTTTTATGATGTAATGTAATCATGTCATAAGTGATCAAAGTCTACATGAGAAAATGTGTGAAAGGTAATGGGAGAGTTTCGATGCATGCATTTAAGCACTGGTGCAGCATGTTTTTGTGTGCATGGTGGACCCCGCCTGACCGGACGGACCCTTGTGGCAGCTAGAGGCAGACCTGTTACTCCATGAATCACAGCCTGGGACTGAGGCCTGCTGTGAGACATTAGGGGGCAAATGCAGTGTGAACCGTGAATGAGATCCTTAAACTCGTGTGGAGAGATCAGTATCCGAAAGTAAAAAGAGATCTCTTTTATTAGCAGGACAGGAACTAGTCTGGACAAGGCTGGGCCGGGCCGGGCGGGCGGACACACACACACAACACACACACACACACACCACCCACACACACACACACACACACACACACACACACACACACACACACACACACACACACACACACACACACACACACACACACACACACACACACACACACACACACACACACACACACCTTACTGCTCTTGTCAGGGGACGACCCTGTTCAACCCACTGTTACTCTGTTCAATGAAAGAGTCTGGCAGGAAGGAAAACACATTCACAAGTGTACACCAACTGCTGCATCTGTGCGCACATTCTCCAGGTGTGCTTGTGCATGCAATTAAAACTTGGGGAGAAGCAGATATAAACAGATGAGAGGATAAACAAATATTCAGTGTCAATGTTCACGTATCTTTGGAAAATGTTCAAGATTTGTGTTTACTACAATAACTCCTGGAAATGTGGTTTTGGTTTTAACTGCAGCCCACTTGTAGCGTTTAGATTAATACATTGAAATAAAAAATACTTTTGTCCTCTGCCTAGCAGTGGTTGTTATGAGATACCATTGCTTCTCTTTAATGGAGGGAAACCAATGAGCAGCAAAGGGTTGCCGCCCGGATATTTCCGCACACTCTCAGACATCAGTGACCACCAGGGTCAGTTTTCAGAGCCGTGCCAAAACAGAGCTGCTGTTTGATGGAGATGTGGGGAATCTGCTTCAACAGAACCAGACGTTGGCTGAGCAACCCGACCCCCCCGACTTCTAGGTGAACCCCGCCAGTCTGCTCAAACAGGAAAAATTCTCCTCTTCCAGAAAAACGGTAAGATCAGAAACATACGCGCGTCAGATGGAGGAACACGTGTAAAAACGTGGTTTGATGAGGTCATTCTATCCTCATTTTTGCTCTTTTCTCCTTGTCGCCTCTACCCCCCACCAACCATCCCTAAAGCTACATGTAAAGATTTCTGCAGAGGGGGAAGTCTGTCCTTCAGCAGCTGTCAATCGCACAGACAGTTGATCCTTAAGAGGAAGCAAGGGGATGAGATGAAGACATGGAAGATCTGTAATAGACTTGAGATAGATTATTGTCTGTCCCTTAACATTTAATTATATTTAGACCGAGTGTTAACGAAGTAAAAGTCAACGAAGAAGGTTAAGGCCTCATTAGCTGGGTGAGAGCATACAAACTGGACATCTCCCAGCACCCTTCACGTACAGTGTGGATTTTAAAACAGCTACCTAAAGAGAATCCAGGGTCTGACCCGGGGGTCCTTGCGTACACAGTGTCCCTGTGAGAGAGGAGAGAAGGGAGCTCCCACCTCTGGCCCTCCTTGACAGCACAAGATTGACGAGGAGAGCTTGGTCAAAAGGCTCACAGGAGAAATAAATACGTCCAAAGGCCTTTGCCTACCTCGAGACGTGCCCCTCCCCTTACAACCACACACTGGAGGATCTGAGAGTCAGTGTGCTGTGTCACTGAGAGCTCAGAGGAATCCATCCTGATGACTACCTCCATGAATCTCTAAGGCATCCAGACAAACAGCTGGGATTAAAACTGGAAATTGAATTCAACATACAGTCAACAGTTCCCTAAATGTTGTTTGACAGATTTACAGTATGTTCAGACAAGCTGGAAGCGAGTGAGATATATTACTCTCACACATACTGTTGCATAGAGCAACATGGAGGCTTATCAGCTGCAGCCACGTTTATTAAGGCAACTTTTAAATGACTATGAGGCCTCCTTTGCTTTTAAAGAGAGGGCAATCTTTAAGAAAAACAAATAAAACCTTACATCTCCTTGCCAAACACTCTCCATAAAAAAGACTTTATTGATCGGCTGCCTCTTATAGGATTGGAGATGTTTTAATTGTGCTTCCCTGTCGAGACATTACCTCACTGTTGTTTCAAAAGCTGATTAGCTAGGCTTTATGTAAATGAAAACACTGCCGAATATAAATATCACTGAAGACATAGCCAGGCTGCATTTCTTCAGATGAATGTCCCCTTAAAAGATGCATGACAGAAAGAAGGAAAAAAAGCCCCCCATGTCTCCAGTTTGAAAAAGACATCAAGACATTTATTGGGTGACATAACTTGGCCTCCTGGCAGCGGACCAGAGTTCAAGCAGAAGAGCAGAAGCCGCTGGCCTAACAGAAGTCTTTAGACGCTTGCATAAATGATGCTGGGGTGAAAAAAAAACAACTGGTAGGAAAGGTAAATGAATACTGCAGTAGCTTTTTCTCCTGTGGCTTCATTTAAAGGAAGCTCAAAGTCATACGACATGCTGCTAGCAACACCACCATGCAACATGACCTCAAGTGACCAAATGTTGATTTGCATACGTTTAGGACATGATATGGATATGTGAACACACATAAATGGAAAAAGGTCAATGTGCAGAGCTTCAAACAGGGATTCAGTTGGAGTTTAAAACATTTTTAGATACATGTTTTGTCAATGAGTCTGAAAGCATTATGTTTTAAATTGACGTAGTTGGACAGAACAGGAGCTGCACTCTTTTTAGAGAACCACTTAGTATTTTTAGACGTAATAAATGTGTGTTAGAGGGAAGCCACTACCACCACAGCAAACTATTTGTGTTTCACTCACGTACTCTCTGGCTACTGTTGAGGCACCACAGGATAGGAAAACAGGCAGTGGCATTACAGCATGTTCTAAATAAAAGTACCCCAACAAGCTTCCAGTCTCTATGGTGTGGTTTACCGCTTTCTGTTTCAGATGAAATATAGATACTAAACATTGGGGCGTCATAGATACATGATGAAGTATACAAATATTCCCGCGGAGCATTTTTTTATTTGAAATTCCTTTTCGGCAAAAGGATATGCTGCATGCAGGTTAATTTAGATGTGTTTGCCTAGGGACACATTTAAAACCAATGAGATGCACCAGTACTGTTTCTGAACAGTGTTTTAACATATACAGTAGGTGTTCAGCATTAACTAATGATAATGCTTCAATAACACTTATTCCAATCCTTTGCTCAGAAAAGGTTCGTTTTTTTAGATCATTAGGATCATTTCATAGTATTGTGCTTATCCAAATGTTTGCCAAAAAATCTCCAAATGTAACATATTCCACCCTTTTGTATACACAATTGCTTGGGGGAATTGGTTTAATATACATTGATGACATTTCAGAGAAATACAGTAAGAAAGTGCCAATGGTTATCTCCATAGACTCTTTCACATGGTTGTCACACATGTTTAGGCCTGTTAAGGCACTTTGAAGGAAACAATTATTTTTCTATTGCGAACATGTTTTTTTAGTGAGCTTGACGATCATCATTATTGCTGTTGAAAGCTCAAACAGTAAGGCGGCACATAAGCCACACACATCTCTGTGGGTCTTCAGTGTGTGGAAATCAGATCATCATCTTGTTAAAAAACATTAATTTCGCAAGACTTAAGACTTTTTACTAAAGTAATACATGGTAGTTATCTTGTTTATAGGAACTAAGTGCCACCTGGACAGGGCTTTGGCCTCATCTTGACCACATTTTGAACTTTCCCAAAAAAAGATTGTTCATCTAATAACTAGGGCTAAAGTAAATCTGTTGCCAAGCTCTAGATATGCTTACTATAAAAGGTGAACTTTGGATAGCAGAAGCCTCAGACACACAAACCATGTGCACAACGACAGCACAGAGGGGTCATGTCCTTGCACAAAACGCCCGTGGCGCGGCACACTTCCTGGTGAAAGGTAGATTACACATCAACTGATATGCTTGATCTGTTTGCACTTGTCTCAGCAATGGTGTTAATGAGTATAATAATGTTAAAAAGGAAGTATCACATTCACCTCCTGGCATTTCCTATGGCGGGGCACACCAAATAAGCAAACCCTGACTTCCTCCTTGGCTGCCAATATACACAAGCTGGTCATCTTGATTTCCCAACAGTAGGGTTAGCATAGGAAAGAAGAGAGGAAGAGGAGGAAGGGGAAAGGACATCCGAGATACTTGCCTCTCGGAGTCAGAGCCACCGAAGACAGACAGACACGGGACATGGACAGGCAAGCAGGACGTTTTTATTTTTCCAGACCAAGTGTCGGGACAACACTTGTGTGCAGGGCTCACTCCTGACCTTTGAAAATGACAGTCCTTTATATGGGCGTCCCGACGGAGGAGCGGCGCTAACAGATATGTGTGTAATACACACCGGCCACAGTCATAACACAGGCCTGCAAACCAGGGGTAGAGCAGAGGGTGGGAGCTGAGAAGGGCACGGAGGAAGGCAGTCTGTCAAGGATGGGAGGCAGGGGAGAGGAGAGCAGGGAACAGGGGAGGGGTTGTGTGG